ATTCACCACTGCAGCAAGGAGCTTCATCTTTAAGGAGAAAAGCTGAAGCATGGACACAAAGGTTTACAATGTTGTATGTTTCATTAAAAAGAAAAAAAAAGTTCTATCTCCATCTACAGCCAAATTATTTTTGACAAGAATGCCAAGACTATTGCAGAAGGAAAGGACAGTCTTTTCAACAGTGTTGAGAAAACTGAATATCAACATGCAAAAGAATGAATTTAGACCCTTACCTGACATCATGTACAAAAATTAACTAAAAATAGCCCAGCTGACCATGAACCAGGAAGTCATGGTTCAATTCCCAGTCAGGGCACACATGTCTGGGTTGTAGGCTTGATCCTCAGTAGAGGGCATGCAGGAGGCAGCCGATCAATCATCCTCTCATCATTGATGCTCTTCTCTCTCTATCTAGACTCAGGGAGGATAAACAACATGCTGATGGGTCAAGAGCTGGCACACTTCCATACTAGGAGGAACTGACCCCAACATTCCTCATTGTTATTATTTGTCCTCATACCTCTGTACACCATGTGTTTTAAATGTTAACTATCCTGTACCCATCAATGTAAATTAAATATATATCTGCTTTATTTTTTATTAAATCTGAGGTATTTCCCTGCTTTACGTTCTCTCGCCATCTTAATATGGCACCAATGAATTTCATGAACCTTCCTTGTCTCTTCCTCCATTGATTTTAATGTATAAAATGAACTGCAAAAGGGTGTTTCACCTTGAAGGGTGTTAGCTGGTTTCTGTTCTGAAAAAGCTGCATTTAATACCAGATGGGTCCTGCATGATCCTGAGACAGCAAGCAGCTCATCTGTCTGAAAATGTCAACCAAGACAAGAATTACCTACTGGCTATCTCACAAGTGGACTTTTTCAAGTTTGATGAATTTAAATTCCCCCTTTAGTTCACTTGGTCTTTGCAGGTGATACTCATCATGATCTCCACTACTCAAATTGATAATCACTGGGCCTGTTTACAAAGAATAATGCAGAAAGGATATTCAAACAAAATCTGCGATGTTTCTTGATAATTTCTGATATTGTTTCTCATCATTCATATTCTGATGGACATTTATGACAGATACTGGGAGTCATAAGAAATCGCCATGATTCAATGAGAATTATCAGGGTGTCTCATTAACAAGGGTTGAATTGATGCCTCACAAAAGGAGAAAACAATGGACATCATCTCAGGATGATCTTAAATTAAACCTGGATGCCTTTGTGTCTTCTTAAAGTCTCTTGAGCATTTTTAAACAAAAATAAATTAAAAAAAAAATAAACTGCAAAATTCTTATTCTCTAGAGCATTTTCTCAATTTTCTCAAATTTTGCTTCCAGATCTGACCCTCTAACCTGGTTCAAATAACCTCTTTTAACCTTCTTTTAGGTATGGAATTTTTGTTTTTTGGTCAACACTGATATACATACATCATGTACAAAGAATGTTGCTAAAGTAATTTGGGGTAAGAGAGGAATAATAAATAGGCCTGCCAAGTTATATAAAACATAGTCCACTGTTAGACAGTGGCAAAGCTAATATACAAGACTCAGTATTACCTAGATTTTAAATATTGACTTTCGTAAATAAACTCAGCTGTATTTAGTAGACAAACTGACTAAAGCATAATTAATACACACTCATTAGAAAAGTAATTAGTATACACTCATTAGAAAAACAAGCATTAACCTACAGTATTACTCAGATAAGGAGCTAAATGCTAATACTGCATTGCTCCTATAAGCAGATTTTAGGATTAAAGTTTCTTTAGGTTAAAGACAATCAGGAAAAATTAATTTATGTCAATAGACAGGATTTTTGTTTTGTTTTTAATTTTATATAAAAATATCAATTACATAGAAATCTTACAGATGAACTAATTAAAACAAAATATGCATAATTCACTTTAATTACAGAGATAGCTGATGATAAAATGATCATATCTGAAAAACTGTTTAAGGTATAAGTGGTATTCAGATGAGATGACAATAATAAGGTTCCCATTGGAATGGATTATGTTAATAAACACTGTAAAAATCATAATTTTTTTAAAGAATACAAGTAAACCCATCAATTTCTTTTAACAAACTAAAACAAATTAAAAAAACAAACCTCCCCAACTTCATTCTACCAAAGGTTTATATAGTTTACTTTCCAAAAATTACAAGTTAAGAATTACTACATGTACATTTTAAAATCCTTCAAGTCCAAGTAAGTAATGCTTGTCCCACCCTCTTATTTATTAGTGACAAATCAAAGCTTTAAATGATTACTCACCACCAAATCTATCAACCCCATGCATGAAGAACAATATTCTCAAAGTGAGTAATCAAAACCAAATCAAATCATACCACCACCCTCCCAAAGGAAGTCTTCTGTGGCTATTATCTAAAAATATCAAAAACAGAGCTGTTTCCTTATGAAAATAGCTTATATTCAGAATTAGATACTACTTTCCACTTTCCATAAGAGTCATATAATTTCACACATTGAAAACTATGAAAGAAATTTATGAAAAGCCCTATGTAGACGTTTTCTCAGAACAAAATTGGGCAGTTTACAGTATGATACGCCCTAAGCCAATAAGCACCATCTCTCAATAAATGTATCATTCAAGTCATGCCTGCCATTTGAGATCTGAAGTGTCTTTCCACACACTTCAGATGCATCAACACTAGGCTCAGTATCAGTGTCACTATATTGTAACTCTGAAAACTAGTAGTCCATATAAGCTATAAATCAAGCATGGCAAACCCGCAGCCCAGTCAATATAACAGTATGTAAGAAACATTAATAAAAATGTTGTAACTTAATTTTTACAATATCCTGTATATGCACTCTATCTATAGTAATAAAAGCATAATATGCTAATTAGACCAGAAGGCTGGACAGTGGAACAACCATCTGGACAACTTTCCAGACGAAGCCGCCAGGGCTGGCTGCAAGGGCCTATGCTTGCACGAATTTTGTGCATTAATAATGAACAACATTCGCCAATGATTAATTACTATAATTGTGTTGCATTCATTTCCCTTATGTGCCTTATACACAGCCACACTATTTCTCTCCACTAATGCTAGCAGCGAATACTTTAGCAACCGATGGCCACTTCATTAGTTTTGTACTGACTTGTTTGGCATGCACAACAGGAAATATTTCGCTTTCGGAGATTAAGAAAAATAGGTTTATTTGTGTTATGCTTATTAATTTGTGCAGTTATAAAGCGTCTGATAAGCTTATGTTCAAGAAAAATATTTTTATTAAAATGTTCTATTATTTTACTCATTTATTTCATCCTTCTGTATTCAGCATGCCTCTATTGAAATAAACCTATGTTTCTATGAAAACTGAAAGGTTTTTTGTGGGGGTTTTTTTGCAGCCCACAAACTTTAACCTTATTTGGCCAATGTTAGCCTTTGAGTTTGACATGCTTGCTGTAAATGGTAACTTTGTATCACTCAAAATATTGTTTGCCAGCCAGGCCAGTGTAGCTCAGTGGTTGAGCACAGACCTATGAACCAGGAGGTCCAATTCCCATTCAGGGGTACAAAAAACAAGAAAAAAGCAAATAAAAAGAAATCAAAGTATTTTTAAAGTGTAAAGACTTTTTCACTAAATAAAGAGAATTCATTTTTCATTATTCTTTGATATAGGGGTGTGCAGGAGGCAGCTGATCAATGATTCTCATCATTGATATTTCTCTCTCTCTCTCTCCTTCTCCCTTCCTCTCTGAAATCAATAAATGCATTTAAAAAAAAAAAAAAAAAAAAAAAAAAAAGAATGTCTTAATAACGAAGAGGGGGAAAGTTTGTCGTTTTTTGACCCCAGTAACTCCTATTTCTGACTAGATAATATCTTTCAACTACCTAGTCATTCCTTCCCCGAAGAGCTAGAATTTTAGTAAGACACATTGTAGTATTTCCTCTTGATTTGGACAGCAAAAACTACACTGAAAAAGTACAGTGCTTCCACCTGCTTTCTGACACCTGCTCCCAAAAGTGCCTGTGTCCAATTAGGAAAACCAAAATGTTGCAAAAACATTTGCATTCCACACTTTAAGGTAACAAGAAACCAAATAAATAACAGTATGGATGAAAGAAATTCATATCAATTCAGTGTATATTTTTAATACATAACTTGTTTAGTAAATATGATGGCCACATCTATGTGGCAAGTACCTATAAGCTGCATCTATTCATTTTTGTACATTAATATTACTTATAGCCTAAACTGAACATCAAATTGAGATTTTTAAAATTTGAAACAAGTCAGTTTTCTAGTACTGTTATATAAAAAATTTTCCTGAAGATAATTTATACAATTTAAAGGTTTTTGTGGATTTAATAACAATATATTTTAGAGAAAATTTCTAAACATTCTTTTCTGAGGCTCAATTTAAGTCCCTCATCCCTACTACTTCTTAAATTACATTTTCATTAATGTTTGTATCAGACTGCAAATATTTTAACAAAAACTTTGCAAGTTCTGAAAAGAATTTACAGCTATTGATTAAGGTACTGATTATTTCAAATATATCTCAGTGCTAATGTTTAAGATCTATTTGATATTGAACAAAGCTAATAGCTCTAGTTGTTATGTCTTTACATAAATATGTATGCAGTCATTTCAATGAAAAACGAACACATTTTCCATTTGTTTTAAAGATAACATTAAAATTTTTAACTGATAAAAATTTACCTTGTGGTAGAGCGAGAGATATTAGTAACAGCTTAATAAAATAAAGGTCAAAAGTGCCCAAATATACACAAAATGTATTATTTCACCATATCATTTCTTACCAGGGTCTCTGAAATAACTTAGCAAGTGGTCTACCTATCTGTAGCAAATTAAATGTCAAGGATATCTGGTAATTTCGATACTCACAAATCTCAACATAAGTAGTAATATATATGATTAAATCAATAAGTGTTTATTCAATTGCCTACTGTGGATAATCTAAAGCAATCTTAATCAAAAAGTGCTACTCACCAGCAAGTGTATAATCCATATCAAAACCAAAACACTTTATTTTCTCCATGGCTAAACTTCGGTTCACAAACACCCTGAAAAAAGAGTAAACAATGATATCTCAATTAATACTGGGGGGGAAAAAACAATAAAAAATTGGTTTAACAGAATTATGTGGCTATCTTTCTACATTTTTCTCATTTAAGTACCAATATCTACTACTATATATAATTAAGGCTAACCTGCAAAGTGTACAACCATCTGACGGGTTGCTATGATGCACACTGACCACCAAGGGTCAGAAGCTCAACACAGAAGCTGCCTAGCTGCAGGGACTTGGCAGTGGTGGTTTTTGGGTGACACACCCCAAAACCAGAGGTGAGGGAGCTCAATTCCTTATGAGGCCCCCACAATTCCACCCTCGGCCATGGGTTACATTGTTGCTGGGGCACTGTTGGCCCAGAATCTGGTTTACTACACAGTTGCATTTGCATTCCATACTCAACTTTGCAGAGTGCCCTCTCACACTCCGGGACCCCTCAGGGATGTTGGAGGGCCGGTTTCAGCCTAATCCCTGCAGGCCAGGCGAAGGGATCCACCTGCCAGAGGGACCCCACTCACTCCGTAGACACTGGGGAGGGACCGAGGGAAGTTGGCTCCGACCCGTATAGCCCAGTTCTGTCCTGCCGGCCATCTTCTAATTAATTTCCTTTCAATGTGCATGAATCTGTGCACTGGGTTACTAGTAAGTCATAATAAAAGTATTCAAGTCTTTTTTATACCTTAAGTGAAATAAGAGGTTACATGAAAATACGTGGACCTTTTTACTGTTTTGGTATTAATGCCATGTAGTCAAAACTTGAGTGAATTAGTTATTTTCAAAATATAACCCCATAAAATAAGTTTATTTCTGAGACTTTATAATTCATTCATTTGTAATTTATTTAATAGACAAAGGTTCATTTCAGCCTATCAGATGACAGATACTAAAGACATAATTACAGATTCATTCAACAAATACTTGAGTGCCTACTATATGTTAGAAACTATGCTATGGCAGTGAACAAAAGAGTACCTGCCTCATGGAACTTCTGTTTTAACTTAGAATCTCAATCCTTGAGAAACTCAGCCTAGCAGGAGAAGGACTTATAAGCAAATAATTATAGCAAGTCAATAAATGCTATAAAATATCATGAAGGCCAGAGCACCAATTGTTTAGAGACCAAAAGAGATGTGCGAGCTGAATCTTAAACAATGAATAGAAGCTTCCCAGTAGAACAAAGAAAGAAAGGCAATTCAGGCAGAATAACCAAGCAAGGACAAGGTTTATAATGAATGGTAAAACATTTATTATGGCTGAAGCTGAGTTTTCTTTGGTTGTGCTTTTGTTTGTTTTAGCAAAAAATGGTTTTCTAGAGGAACAGGGGTGGAGGAAATGGGCAATAAAAGCTATGAAGCCAAGATTAACAGGGGAGTATGGACTTTATCCTGCAAGCAAGAACAAATGACCAGATTTTGAAGAAATGAAATAATCATTTTAAAATTTTTAACAAATTAAAATTTCAAAAAGATCACTATGAAGGGAAAACTAACAATATAATAGTATGGCAGATCATTACCATGATGGTGTTTTGGGGTAAGTTTTAATCATTTCTGAAAATAAGTGTTGCCTTTCCATCTGAACCCCAGCTTTGTGGCCAAAATTTCTGAATGATTTATGGTCTATTGCTCAAACTCTTCTTTGCCTTTATTACATAAGTAATTTCGAGAAGAATGCTTTAAATCACCTAGGAAACTTATTAAAAAAAAAAAAAAAAAACAAAAAAAAAAACTATGCCTGAGCTACCCTCACCCATTAATGATCTAGGTCAATAATTTCCAAAGAAGACTGACTACACCAGGGAAAGCAGAAGACTTACTGAGGGAAAAAGAAGATATTAGATCTTCTACTTATATTTATTTCATCATCTAAAGATATCTAATTTGTGTATGTTTTCTACTATATATAAATAAGGATAATATATAATTTATAAGTACATACAGGAGTAAATATTACATATTTTAAGTGATGAAATACTCAAAAAAAATTGGAAACCACTGATCTAGGTATTGACTTTTTTTTAACTCTTCACCAGTGTATATATTGTTTTAAATGTTAATAGAAAACATTTTCTCTCATCTCAGAATATATCAATTTTATTTATTTATTTATTTATTTATTATCTTTTTAATATATTTTGATTTTTTTACAGAGAGGAAGAGAGAGGGATAGAAAGTTAGGAACATCGATAAGAGAGAATCATTGATCAGCTGCCTCTTGCACACCCCCTACTGGAGACGTGCCCACAACCAAGGTACATGCCCTTGACCGGAATCGAACCTAGGACCTTTCAGTCTGCAGGCTGACGCTCTATCCACTGAGCCAAACCGGTTTCGGCTGAATATATCAATTTTAAATAAAGAAAAATAAACATTAGCTTATAATACTTTAATCAAAACAGTCAATTGGCCCTTAAATTAAGAGCTTTTCTGAAAAATGTAAAAATCATTACTCATCTTACACCAGGCTATGCATACTTGATTAGCTCTAAAAAACAGTTCCTGAGATGTTATATAAAATATTTTTACTTTTTTTTCCCTAAAATAACCTGGTCTTCTAGAAAATAAATATTTAAGTTGTCTTGGGTAAATGGTGAAAGAAAGAAGAAGAAAAGAGTAATGCAGCGATTTTCAACATTTTTCATCTCATGGCATACACAAACTTATTAGTAAAATTCTGTGGCACACCAAAAAATATACATTTTTTGCTAATCTGACAAAAAAAAGTAAGTATACTTTTGATTCATTCACACTGAACAGCTAATGTTGTGTTGGCTGTTGTTGTTTCTTTAATTAGACAATTTAAGGGAAAAGAGGTCAGTGTCCCTAACTTAATAGTGATATTGCATGTTGTAAAAACTCTTGCAGCACACCAGTTGAAAATCACTAGAGTAGCAGAGAGCTGAAAGATACAAGGAGCGAGAGAATAAATTACACCCACCCAAACCTTTTAAGAAACTTACCACTACCTCAAATATATCACCATGACCCTTTTAACAATTTACCAAACTTCCTTCTTTATTGTCATTTTTCCCCAGTTACATAAATCCTTTGAAGTCACAACAGGGGTAAAAAACACAAAGTAATGTTTCTAACTCTGGAAACAATGTTACCACTGATGCTTAGGCTTTTCAAACACTTTCAATGCCGGCTAGGGTGCCAACTGGATCAAATCCTTGCTCAGAGCCCAAACAGCTGACGTGCCTAAAATATTCTGTGGGAATTCAGGCAGGAACGACAGGGAGATTTTTCTTCCTGTGGTACAATCCAGGAGAGATATGTAGGACCACACAATAAAAGAAACAGTTTTGATTCTAATAGAAATATGATGGGAGTTGGTTTTAGGCACAATGAAAAATCAGGGAGAAAATAAACTTTGCTAATATCACTCAATCAGTCCTTAAGATACAAAGATCTATTTATAGATCCAGCAAGATTGTTTACTAGTTTCTTTCTTGGCCAGAAAAGAAATTAAGCTTATTCACTTCACCATGTTTTTAAAAGGATATAAACATAATGCACCTTAGGTATTATCCATACAAACTCTATAAATGACGTATGTCATAACATGAAAATCTTTTTTTTTTTTTTTTGCCAAAATAATCACTGCTAAATATCTATCAAATTGCACTCTTTCTTCTTTGACTGGTTGGTCACTTTATTCAATCAACACATTTGTTAAATGCCTACAACAAAGCAAGTACCGTACTATTTTGTGACATATATTCTAGAAGCTATGCTGTAGGGAGTAGTCAGAGCTAAGAAACTTTCTTAGTGCCTAAAATTAGGAAGTAAGACCTTTTCCTTTTAAGATCTTTTACCAAATATCTTTTCCATTTTCAAAATAAGTTACCTTCACCCACAGAAGCAATTACTTAAAAAAGAAACAATCATTCCTATTTCCCCTAATTCATGTCTATTATGAAGCAAAAAGAAAAACCTCACATATATTCTCATCTCTTCTATTCTTTGCCTAGTTTATGCTACAAAACATGGGAAGAGGGGCAATAGGGAATTCAATCTAATTCCTGTGCAAATATCTAAAATGTATAAGGAAACCTATAATCGTAAAATTAACAGCTACATTATAGATATCTACAATAATATAGTATATGTTAAGTTTTACAAAGTTAATAAATGTCCAAATGCTGAAAGTATGCACTGACCAGGAGAGAAATAGCCTTAAGCCAGAAATATCATGTCTCCAGGACACAGTCTTCAAGGAAAACAATCTCTTGGCCTCAAACTAATGATTATTCTTTACTGTTAAAAGCAAGTATTGGGTAGTGTATCAATTAAAAGACTGGCTCACTGTCCCACCATGCATTTAAAACAAAAAGATACCTGCTTTGCAGAAACCAACATTTCTATTGGTTTCGGGATTTTGACTGTATCTTTACTTGAGTCACTTTTCTAAATTATTAACCAGTGAAACATACTCCACCTCTATCTTTAAGAGCTTAAATATATTTGTGAAATTCCAAAGCTTGTTTTAAATAAAGTACAAAGTTGCCACTCTTAAGAAGCATAACTGAACTAACGCATCCAACCTTAAAAAACAGAAATTCCTACATTCACACTAAGTCATCTGCAAGATACAGATTTAAGCATGAACAAGAGAAACAATCTTTAGGAAAAAGATACAAGAACACATAAAACCAGACACAGACTCCAACACAACAACAAATGTAACAGCTTTTACTATCATATCCCACTGTAGTAAGGCATGAAATATGAAGAAATTCTATATAAGTAAACATACATATAACTATAAAAATGAGACAATATAATATGAATTAAGAGAGTGATCTAATATTCTCCCACTTAAGGACCATGAACATGCAATTTACTAAATGTGAAATTCTGTACATAACAAACTCAATCGTTTTGAGATTTAACACATAATTCAAAGCAGCATTACCTCATCTGTCACTGGTTGCTGTTTTGCAAAGTGTGAAACTATCTGAATCAAATAGTTCTTGAAGTCATAACAAAA